TCACAAAAAAATCCAAGCTGCACCATTCACCGTCGATTTTCGAATATCGGATTTAACATCTGTTGCTTCTATGTGTGCATCCTTGTTCTATCCTACAAGCTTCAACGTATCCTATTATCTAAGTGTTACCAGCTTACATGTTGTCTAGTCGTGCCTCCTGTCTATTTCAGATAGTCTCAACTACCCTATGTGTCTCTCCAGCTTCAGATTCAGGATCTCTAGATTATCACTGTTTGTTCCTCTGTGTGCCTCCTGCGTCTATTCCAGAATCTCTGACATGGCTTTGTCGCGTGTTCTCCAGGTTCTACGTCTGGGTCCTTAAGTTGTTCTACATGTTTCTACGTCGCGATCGGCGGAGATGAGAGGAGCTGTCTGGAGCAAAGACTACTCAAACTTCACGATGAGCCCCCCTGGCGCTGCCCGACCATCGGCTTCGACCCCTCGCAAAAGAGGCCGCCGATCCAGGACCCCCGACGTCGCCGTTTTGAACGGAGCGCTGACCCCGGGATGTCGGGCCTGTCCCCCTACAGGGTGATGTTCGACGAAAAATAAAAATACCCCCAAACTAGTCAAAACATATTCCAAACATAGTCTAGGGACTATGTTTTGAGTATCTTTGGACCTTTTTGGGGGTATTTGTTGGGTATTTTATATTTTTCGACCTGGCAGTCCACTCGGAATCGCTGCTTGACAACCCCAGGGTCCAACGAGGGCCCCATGGAGGCAAGAAAAACAGTCGGGGCCTTGACCTAAGGAACCCTAAGTAAGGAACGAGGCCCCTCTTTTCCATAAGTTAAACTTCGATTTCCCATACCAAAAACCTAAGGGAAACCCGAGGCAAACTGCAACACAATCAAGGAACACCGAGCCCCTCCCCAACGAAAAGCGTTTCTTCTTCAGGGCCCCGACTGTATCAACATTCCTTCGGTCGCAGCGTTTTTTCAAACGCCGCGATTTAAAAATTAGAACGTTGGAGATCTGGGAGGTCGCCGACACGACGCCCCCCGGAGGGACTTGGATCACTGCGGGGGTTACTGAGGAGATACGGGGCTCTAAGCGGATGCTGAAGGTGGGTTATACCTGGCCGAAGCTAGCTTACGAGCCGGTTGCTGGTAGCATAGGGGGGATGATAACTCCGCTAATTAAGTGGGCGAAGCCCGCAGAACCTCGATCGTTACCCCACCCTTCAATCACCTAGGGCATGTGTAACCCACTTGTAAGCTAGCGTAGGCCAGATACAACACAGTTTAGCATCCACTGAATTAGAACTCCCCTTATGCCCTTCGCAACCTCCACGGTGATCTCATAAGAAACAACCTGAAAGCCTCGTGCAGCAACTTGAGACCCAATGCACGCTGGATCCACGTCGGAATTACGTCGGGGTTAAATCGGATTACGTCGGATGTACGTCGAATGCACGTCGGGTTCACGTCGGATGCACGTCGGAATTACGCAGGAGCATCGCCGCGAGAACGTCGACCCATATCTTACGAAATGGACCTGTGGACCAGACAGTACAAATCTTGCGCGCCGCGCGACGTCTCCAGGATCCCTCTCACAAGTGATCCAGGTCTGGGGAGACGTAAGACGTAAGACTCGGGTTCGGGGGAATCGGCTTGGCCTGACGGGGCCATCATGAGCATGACCAGACCCAGCCTGAACTCCGACGCGAGCTCCCGCTGCAAGCATCCCCCCGAAGACTGGACCGCCGAAAAGTCCAGGACGCGCCCGTCCAAGACCGCCGGCAGACCCGAGCTCCGGCGCACCCGTGCCGGTCCGAAGAGGTGGGCAGACGCACGAGGCAGGAAGGCGCTGAGAAAGTAGATCGGGCCCCCGACCGCCCCCCTGAGGACGCGGGCGGAAGGAAAACACCGCTCGACTCGTGAAAGCAGGAGGGCGCCTAACGCAAGCTGGGACTCGGGGCATCCACAGAGACCTACAGGGCAGTTTTGGATACATAGGATTTTTAAACATATGGGAATTTGATACATGGTTAATGCACGAGTTAATGTATGCATGAGCTCATCGTTGTTCGTAATACGAAATCCCTGCATTTCTAATACGTGATCCGCACGCGGAGCATGTACTAAAAACGGCACTGTACTTTCAGCGTGTCCCCTGGGAGGCCAAGGATGTAGCTATACCGCTGCTCCCCGGACCACTGGTGGGACGTGCGCTCTCGCCAAAACCTCGCAGCGAAGCCGGCGGTGGCGAGGAGGGACTCCCCGGGGGGCTCACGAAAAGGGGGAACGACGAGGCAGGGGCAGCACTGTGGAGGCCTTTCCCTCCCCAGACCCCTTTGAGTTATGAAAAAATCACGACGGGAGGTTTTTCATTATTTTTGGCCTTTGGGGGCCCTTACCGGCCCTCGGGACCGTCAAAAAACGACTCAGGACGAAAAACCGGTCCCGGGGAATGGGTCGAGACCTCGGGGGGTCGACGTCATGAAAAAATCATGGCGTCGGGGGCCTGGGTCCTCCGACTGGGATACTGGCCGACGGGTAGCGGTATACAGTCGGGGCGTTGACCTCAGGAACCCTAAATGAGGAACGAGGCCCCTGTAATCCCTCAACTTGAACTTCGATTCCCCGTGGAAAACCTCAGGAAAACCCGAGGCAAGCTGTAGAACCATCAAGGAACACCGAGCTCCTCCCCAACGACAAGGGTTCCTTGGTCAGCGCCCCGACTGTAGAAACCCTTTCCTCCTCTGGCAAAAATGCCTCCTTGCAGCGTTGCCCCGACGGGTGAGGAGGGCCACGGCTCCCCGCGGCAGGTGGCGAAAGGTCGGCTCCCCCCGCGGGGCCGCCGCAGAAGCCCTGGCGCCTCCCGAGAGATGTTCCGAGCCTCCGGGGAAGGCTCGGGACGACCCGTGGGCCCTGGAAACGACAGGGCCGTTTTTTTACCGGTTCCGCTTTGCCGTTTTTGTTGCAGGTTCCGACGCCGCTGCTTTGCCGGCTCCGTCGCCGTTGTTGGACCGGCTCCGGCTCCGGCTCCAATCCTGGACGACTCCTCCGACGGCTCTGGGACGACTCCTCCGAAGGCCAGCTGAGCATCTTCTTAGGGTGGAGGGCTCAGGGAGAACTCCGCGTGGGCTTCTGCCCCTCGAGGCCAAGTCCGCCTTCTGATTCACCTTCTGCAGATCCAAGCCTCGAGAGCCCATCGAAACGGCATCTCGGATTTTACCGCTTGCCCTCCACCCAAAGAAAATGCTCGGGCCAGGGGGCCTCCGAGCCTCCTGGGCAGCCCCGCCCCCCTGGGCGCGCCGCCGAGAGAGGGCCTTCGGGGGCCCGGAGCGGCCTCCCGAGGCCTCCGACGTGCGTGGGGCTCTTGCCGGGGCGGGGTCCCCGGAGCTCTGGACCAGCTCCCCAGGGGCTCGCCGCCGCCGCCGCCGTCGTCGCCGTCGTCGCCGTCGTCGGCGTCGTCGCCGGCGTCGTCGCCGTCGTCGTCGGCGTCGGCGTCGTCGTCGTCGTCGTCGCCGTCGTCGTCGTCGTCGTCGGCGTCGGCGTCGTCGTCGTCGTCGTCGCCGTCGTCGCCGTCGTCGTCGTCGTCGTCGCCGTCGTCGTCGTCGTCGTCGCCGTCGTCGTCGCCGCGCCACGGCTCCCCGCGGGCGTGGCGCGGTCGGCTCCTCCGCGGGGCCGCCGAAGAAGCAGCCCCAGGTGCCGGGGCTGCAGGCGGACAAGGGCGCGGCGTCCTCTGGGGAGAGCACGGCGCGGCACGCACAGAAGCGTGCCGCGTCGGGGCGCGCCCTCCTCCCTCCCGACGCCCTCCTGCACCTGCTCCTGCGCCTGCTCCTGCTCCCTCCTCCTCCTCCTCCCTCCTCCCTCCTCCTCCTCCTCCCTCCTCCCTCCTCCCTCCCCTGCTCCCTCTCCCTCTCCCTCTCCCTCTCCTCCCTGCTCCATGCTCCCTGCTCCTGCTCCCTGCTCCTTCCCTCCCCCTCCTCTCCCCCTCCTCCCTCCTCCTCCTCCTCTTCCTGCTCCATTCACCTCCAACGCCCTCCTGCTCCTGCTCCTGCTCCTGACCCTGCTCCTGCCCCCTCCCTCCTCCTCCTCCTCCTCCTCCTCCTCCTCCTCCTCCTCCTCCTCCTCCTCCTCCTCCTCCTGGCGGAGAGGGAGCCGAGAGCGAGGATGCGGGGGAGGGAGGAGGACGAGTGAAAGGAACACGAAGGTGCCGATGCCGCTGCTCCCTGGACCTCTCGAGAGGCGCGTCGTGACCAGGACTTCGGGGCGCGTCCAGCCGCAGCGACGAGGGAATGGCAACGATATAAGTCCATCTTCCTCCTCTGACGATCGAAGAGGGGCAGGAGAAGCAAGTACGAGGAGCGTCCTCGTCGATGCAGTCCAAGCTCAGGTGCACCGGGCCAGGGCTGGGCATCGCGCGGGGCCTCACCTGGAGGCCGTCCGAACGGGGTCCGAGCAGACGGGGTCAGAGGGTCGCGTCGCATCGCCGATGCATCGGCGATGTCGGCGTGCAGAAAAGCGGGGAGGAGGAGGAGGAGGAGGAGGAGGAGGAGGAGGAGGACGAGGAGGATGATGAGGAGGAGGAGGAGGAGGAGGAAGGAGGAGGAGGGGGGAGGAGGAGGAGTATGATGATGATGATGATGATGATGATGATGATGATGATGATGATGATGATGATGATGATGATGATGATGATGATGATGATGATGATGATGATGATGATGATGATGATGATGATGATGATGATGATGATGATGATGATGATGATGATGATGATGATGATGATGATGATGATGATGATGATGATTATGAGGAGGAGGAGGAGGAGGAGGAGGAGGAGAAGGAGGGGGCTTCGGCGATGCGGCAAGATCCTCCAACTCCACCTGCGATACGGTTAGGATCGGGTTGCTTGGCGTGTCGCGCCGCCAGCTCTAGTAGCCTACCACGCTTCGGCACGACGCGCTGACCAGGAGGAGGAAGAGGAGGGGGAGGAGGAGGAGGAGGGGAAGAAGGCGGAGGAGGAGGAGGAGCAGGAAGAGGAGGATGAGGAGGAACCATCAGGAGGAGGAGGAGGGGGGGAGGGGGAGGAGGAAGAGGAGGAGGAGGAAGAGGAGGAGACGTCCCAACTCCCAGGTATCAGCCCCACTGAGCGGAGCGACACGCCACCAGCTTGCAAGGCATAGCGTGCCGACAGGGCCGCCGCCGCGACACGCTAAGCAAAAGTTCGCGACCGTGCGATTCCTCCCCCCTTGACCTTGTCCGTCTCGTCCTCATATCTCCGATGCATTGATCTTTTGCGGCACGGGGTTTGGAACTGCGGGCCACTTCTCAAAGAACGCTTTTTCCTCTCGCGAAATGTTTTCTGGCGGTCCCAGGGCCTTGCGAAGGCCCCCATGGGCCGAAAACTACGAAACACCAGACAGCTCGCCCCTTGGCCCACCGCCAGCCCCACTGCAAAGGGCGAGCAGATATACGGGCGCAGCACCGCGCTGGATGCGTAGCCTTCGGCTGACCGCCCGTGCGTGGCACATGGTGCTGTTTGGTTACGTCTGGGAAATATCCTCACCGCCCTGGCCTACAACTTCCAGCGCCATTACCGCACACCCCTCGCTTAGCACTACCAGCGAAATGTCCTCACCCCTGGACTTAAACTGTCAGCCAACTATCCTCACCTCCTGGCCGGAAAACTGCAAGAGAAATATCCTCAACCCCCTGACTCAAACCTGCCAGGGAAGTATCCTCAACCCCTGGCCTAAAACTGCCAGCGAAATATTCTCAACCCCCTCGCATAACAACTGCCAGCGAAATATCCTCAAACCCCTGGCCTGAAACTGGCAGCGAAATATCCTAAACCCCCTGGCCTAAAACTGCCAGCGAAATATCCTCACACACCTCGCTTAAAACTGCCAGCGAGACATCCTCAACCCCCTGGCCTGAAACTGCCAGCGAAACATCCTCAACCCCCTCGCTTAAAACTGCCAGCAACGTATCCTCAACCCCTGGCGTAAAACTGCCAGCGAAATATCCGCATCCCCCTGACTTAAAACTGCCAGCGAAATATCCTCACACCCCTCGCTTAAAACTGCCAGCGAAATATCCTCAAACCCCTGGCCTGAAACTGGCAGCGAAATATCCTAAACCCCCTGGCCTAAAACTGCCAGCGAAATATCCTCACACACCTCGCTTAAAACTGCCAGCGAGACATCCTCAACCCCCTGGCCTGAAACTGCCAGCGAAACATCCTCAACCCCCTCGCTTAAAACTGCCAGCAACGTATCCTCAACCCCTGGCGTAAAACTGCCAGCGAAATATCCGCATCCCCCTGACTTAAAACTGCCAGCGAAATATCCTCACACCCCTCGCTTAAAACTGCCAGCGAAATATCCTCAAACCCCTGGCCTGAAACTGGCAGCGAAATATCCTAAACCCCCTGGCCTAAAACTGCCAGCGAAGCCGCCAAACGCTGGCCTAAAACTGCCAGCGAAAAGCCTCTGCCACGAAATCCCCCCCCCCGCCTAAAACTGCCAGCGACAAATCCTCAACCCCCTGGCCTAATTTTGCCAGCGAAATATCCTCAACCCCCTGGCCTGAAGCTGCCAGCGAAATATCCTCAACCCCCTCGCTTAAAACTGCCAGCGAAATAACCTCACACCCCTCGCATAAAACTGCCAGCGAAATATCCTCAACCCGCTGGCCTAAAACTGCCAGCGAAATATCCTCACACCCCCTGGCCTAAAACTGTCACCGAAATATCCTCAACCCCTGGCCAAAAACTGCCAGCAACGTATCCTCAACCCCTGACATAAACCTGCCAGCGAAATATCCTCACCCCCCTCGCATAACAACTGCCAGCGAAATATCCTCAACCCCCTCAAGTAAAACTGCTCGCGAAATATCCTCAACCCCCTCGCTTAAAACTGCCAGCGAAGTATTTTCACACCCCTCGCATAACAACTGCCAGCGAAATGTCCTCAACCCCCTGGCCTAAAACTGCCAGCGAAATATCCTCAACTCCCTGACTTAAAACTGCCAGCGAAATATCCTCACCTCCTGGCCTAAAACTGCCAGCGAATTGTCCTCGACCCCCTGCCTTAAAACTGCCAGCGAAATATCCTCCCCCCCCCGCAAGCAAGACTGATCTAACGGCTTTGATGATTTAATTGTTCTGCTTGTTCTGTCAGTACACTTCCTGAAAATCTGGCCTGCGCCCGTAAACAACCTCCGTCTTGCGTGTTTCTCGCGACCGTTCTCGGATCTCATTTCAGGCGGGATCCATCTGCGTAGAATCGGGAAATCGGATCGAATCGGGATATGGGTCGGATCGGTTCACACTGACACGAAGTCGGAATCGGATCGGATCGGCGGCGCCCGGATGCACCACAGCGCCATACAAGCATCGGGCCGCACCGCATCGAAGGAACAGCTGAACCGAATTAGACCAGGCCAGGCGGAACCCATGTTGAATCGGACCGATCGGATCGAAAAAATCCCTGCATTTTGGGAGGCCTGTCGGGCGTTGATCAGTGGGGGGGGGGGGGGGGGG